CTCACTGCAGCCTCCTCCTTCCAGGTTCAAGCGATTCTCCTGCCTCAGCCTCCCAAGTAGCTGGCGTTACAGGCACCTGCCACCATGCCCGGCTAATTTTCATCCTGTTAGCCAGGCTGGTCTCAAATCCCTGACCTCAAGTGATCCACCTGCCTCGACTTCCCAATGTGCTGGGATTACAGGCATGAGCCACCATGCTTGGCCCAAGAAAGACACAAGTTCTGTTGTACATGCAGATAGATAATCAAGTAGGGATATCTAGCCCTGGGTTGGGAATATATTCTAGTGACCAGGAGGAGGTCCTAGAAGCATGCTCTGTCCAGGTCACGGCCAGAGTGGACATTCACCCAGAGGACAGGATCATATGAGGTTTGAGAAGAGATTTGGGTTGGGATATAGCAGATAACCTCAAAGTGTCCTTCCAACCCTTGACTCCAGGACCAGGTTAGAGGGCAACGCTGCTGACCCCTTGGGCATCATCCTCCCTCGGCAATGGTGTAACTGAGAATGTGTTTGCTTTCTCCTGGCGCTGTCTCTCGCTCTCCCATGCTCTGCAGGAGCCATCGTGGCCATGTATGTCATCTGCTGGCTGCCGTACCATGCCCGCAGGCTCATGTACTGCTACGTCCCTGATGACGCGTGGACTGAGTGAGTGTGGCAGAAGGGCCCTAGTACACAGGGCGGGGGCCCACTGGATTGGGCCTGGGGTCTCCATTGCTCTGCAGAGGGACCCTCCATTGCTGGGTCCTCTGGAACCCTGGACTGCATTCCACCTGGTCCCATGCAGTCTGTGCCTTGAAATCTCCCCGCCAGGGATGGGGAACAGAGCATTGTCTCTGACCTGGTAAGGCCGTGTGCATGAGAGGCCTAGCCAAAACTGTGGGATTCTCACTACAGGAGAAAGAGAAGCCTGCAGTCTGGGAATGGGGAGAACGGGCCATGCTTCTGAGGTTTCCCCTCTCTCTCCTTCCTCTCCTATTCCAAGCAGAGTGTGAGGAAGACACAAAGCTGCGACCCCATGAGCTAACAAAGGTCTCCTCGGCAGAGACCAAGACATGCACCCCCTTTTATGACACGGTTGGAGAAGATGAGAGAATTCATAATCTGCCTTTCGGAAATCACTGTGCCCCAATCATAAGTGGGAGTCAAACATCCAAAAGAATCGAGGTCCCAGGAAGCCTCCACAGAAAGAGCCATGTGACAGATGCCTCCTCCCGAGGAGCATCAGCACCCTTTACACTTGCGCGGGCAACATGAGCTCATGCTAAGCACTTCCCACTGCAGAGAACCTGCAGCAAGGAGTGCAGCTCCTCAGAAGGACCTTTGGCTCTTAGTGCAGCCACATCTCTCGACCATACACAGCAGCCCGGGGCACCCAGGGCCTCAGTGGCTGGACAGACGGCCCCTGTCAGTCAGCAGTGTCACCTTACCATGAGGTGACCAGGAACTGCAGCCAGGGATGGCAGATCATAGAGGCAGGGTGGAGGGCGTCAGCTGCTGGTGATGAAAACATTTGTGGAATTTACATTGTACTTCCTGGCCAGGCGCGGTGGCCCACACCTATAATCCCAGCACTTTGGGAGGCCGAGGCAGGTGGATCACCTGAGGTCAGGAGTCCAAGACCGGCCTGGCCAACTTGGTGAAACCCCATCTCTACTAAAAATACAAAAATTAGCTGGGTATGGTGGTGTGCGCCTGTAGTCCCAGCTACTCAGGACTGTAGGCAGGAGAATTACTTGAGCCCAGGAGGTGGAGGTTGCAGTGAACAGTGCCATTGCACTCCAGCCTGGGAGACAGAGCAAGACTCTGTCTCAAAAAACAAACAAAAACAAACAAACAAACAAAAACCACTGTGCTTCTTGATAGCAGAAAACAGGCTTCCTCGTGCAGCCCTGTGGAGGAGAGGCATTCTCCAGCAGGAAGCGGACACTGCGAGGAGGTGACCGATCCTCTAACCAGGCTTCCGGGTTTCTCTTGCAGCCCACTGTACAATTTCTACCACTACTTCTACATGGTGACCAACACACTTTTCTACGTCAGCTCAGCGGTGACTCCTCTCCTCTACAGCGTCGTGTCCTCCTCCTTCAGAAAGCTCTTCCTGGAGGCCCTCAGCTCCCTGTGTGGAGAACACCACCCCCATGGAGCGGTTACCCCCTGAAGCCCCACAGTCCCACCCTAATGGATACAGCTGCAGGCTTTGGGGATCCCCCAGAAACCCTGACCCGAATGTCTTACAAAAATGAACAGAACAAGCAGAATGACCAGTTGCTTAATCATCTGGCAAAGCAGGTGAGCAGCCTTATCACTAATCATTCAAGCTTTGCAGCCAGGGCGACTTCCACCAACCCCAGCTCTGCTGAGAACCATCAAGTGCAGGGAAGCCACGTGACCCCTCCTAGCCTCAGGCTCCCTCATCTGTGTAGTGGAGATAAAGAACAGCACTCATCTCTTAGTGTTGTCTGAGACTAAAGTGCTTAGCACACAGCCTGGTGCATAGTAGATGCTCAATAAATTTTTGCTGGCACGATTTCTGTTGCTACTGTTGTTGCATGGCTATTATCATTGCTTTCCTGCTGTCCTGAAAGCCCACGACACTTTTCTGTAGTTTTATGCTCAGATGTCCTATGAATTTCTTCAAATGACAAATCAACAGTACCCCAGAAGCTGACCAAATTGGTACCTCACATGAGCTGTAGTAAGATTCTCCATTCTCTCCCAGGCAGGGAGCAGCTGTTGACACTGACAGCAGCTTCTGCAGGCTCTGGAAAGCCAGTGCGCTGCTGGTGTCCCCTCCTGCCTCTGGCCAAGCCAGCCCATGTGGCTTCCGGGGAAACAAATGGCCATGCACACCCTGCCACGAGGCACATGCGGCCCAGGTATGCTCTGGCCAGCGCAGTGCTGGACAAGAGTTGAATCTTAATTCTCTTCATCAGGGCAGGCTCTGCCCGTTTGACAGCAGGCCTCAGTCCCTGCACTGCACGCACAGGCCAGGCCCACTTCCTACGGCCAGCCTTGCACCTGGAGGCGGTAAGGTTGAGGCCAGAGGGGGAATGGTGCTTTTCGCTGAGTGCAGAGGATGCAGTGGCAAAAGGCAGGGGAGGGTACAGGCCTGTGAGGGGAGGAGGAGAGAGGTGGGTGCAGGACACAGCACCAAGGAGAGGTTCGTTTTGATGAACTGCATCAACACTTCCCTAGACTCTATCCACCTCCTGACCCATCCCCCACCCCCTACTCCCACAATGAACGCTGCACACACTCATCACACATACATCACACGGGCACACGTCACACATGTATGCACAGACCCATCACATGCAGACATACCACAAGCACGCGGCACGTGCACACTCACACATCACATGTGCACACATCATGTCACATACACACTCATTACGCCTACAGCACACATCAGATGCACATCACACACACCACATGTAAACTCACATGCACATGCGTCACGTGCACACACACCTGGTCTGGTCCACTGAGACGAGCCGGCAGTGGCTTCTGTGCAACTCGGAGGTGACTGTTCTCCAGCTCCACAGCCCCAGAACCCCTGAGAAGAGGCCAGAGGTGGTGACCACACTCCCTTCACGAAGCCTTCCCGGCCTAGGACCACCATGGGTACCCACACGTGGGCCTCGTCGGGCGAGGACATGGCACCTGGAAAGGAGGAGCGACAGAGCCCTGGCGTGGGGACTCCTAGAGGGGGCGGCTCTGACAGGCAGGCCACGGGCTCGCGGTGTTCATGGGGAAGAAGGAGCTTCAGATCTGCATCAGGAAGGGTGAGGCCCACCCCGCCTGGCGCCGCCTCCAGTGATGGTGCAACCTCCGTTTAAGCCGCGGCTTGAGAGTCCCTGGGTCAAAGCGGTGACTGCGGCATCCTTACACACCAGTCAAAGCTCCAGAGAGGTCCAGGAAGCAGGAAAGGCAAGAAGTAGCTCCCAGTGCAAACGCAGATGAGACGGCGCGGGAAGCAGGCTCGGGCAAGGTCTGGGGCTTGGGCCAGGAGAGCTGGTTCCTCGGCCTCCTCACTGGGAGCAGGGGAACCCTGGGCGGGTTCAACTCCCTGAGTCTGTGTCTTCATCTGCAAAACTGTTGGGGGCAGAAAGCTCTTAAGCCATTTAAAAACAGTAATTCAGGTCAGCAAGAATGGATCTGAATTTGAAGCAATTTGTAATCTTCATTTATCTCTTTTGCGTGTGTGTGGGGGGTGTGTGTGTGTGTGTGTGTGTGTCCACAGAAATGTTAATGCGCTTGATTTGGGGTATTCTTCCAGGATCCTGCTAAGGGTGTTACGTAATATGTGGCGTATATCCCATGTTGCTTTTCTAAAACATGGCAAACCCAAATTGAAAAATACATCTGGCCCCAAGGGCTTCAGATAAAGGATTGTGGATCTGTAGTACCTAATAATAAGTTTATAATAATTAAATAAGATAATGTTAAGCTCCTACCACAGTGCCTGGTATATAGTAAATGCTCAATAAATGCTGGTTGTCATTATTGTCATCATCATCCTAGACCCCAAACTGGGTAAAACCTGGTAGTGTCCCTTAGGAAAGATTATATGAATGAGGCACACTTTTTCTGCTACATGTTACCAAAGTACAGTGAGAGGCAAGAGAAACAAGTTGTAAAGAATAGATTGGGAAACATAAATGAGCTATTTTATATATTATCCAAAATTTTCATGCAAATCATTAGGCAAGACACCAGGACCCCAAAGGCCAAGAAACACACAAGAGGAAACATGCTCAGCCTCAGCAGTTCCTGGAGAAACGGCAGCCCAAACAATAACATGTGACATTTTATGGGCAATACATTAACAAAAAATGTCAATGACCAGAACAAATATTGGGTGACATCAGTGTGCTCCTGTCTTAGAGGGAGAGGAAACTGAATAACCTTCTTGGAAAGCAAATTGGCAATGTATTTTGAAAGCCATAAAGTGCTCAGAAACTTAGACCCTGTAATTCAACTCCTGGATATTTACTTTGACATAATTTGCTAAAAAAGAAAAGGCCTCCCTGTGTGAACACAGAGTCATTGCAACACTCTTCATTTGGGCCTTTACGAGCAGGCACTGGTTCAGCAACATAAATCTGTTACGCTGCCTGATCGTCACAGCAGCCACTACAGTGAAAACTGTTCTTACCATCACCATTTCACATATGTGGCAATGGAAGCAAAGACAAGCTAAGCAAGGTTCTTCTCCTGCTACTTGATAACTCGAGGAGTGGAGCCCAGGCTTGGGAGTTGGGAGCCGGTGCTCAGCCTCTACATCATGCTGCTGCCCAGGAGCTGGATGGCAAAAGATGCCAACAGGCTGGATGCCCTGGCTCATGCCTGAAATCTCAGCACTTTGGGAGGATGAAGCAACTGGATCACTTGAGGCCAGGAGTTTAAGATCAGCCTGCGCAACGTGGTGAGATCCTGCCTCTATAAAAAATACAAAAAATTAGCCAGATATGGTAGTGCACACCCATAGTCCCAGCTACTCTGTAGGCTGAGGTGGGAGAATCACCTGAGCCTGGGAAGTTGAGGCTGCAGCGAGCTGTGATTGCACCACTGCACTGCAGCCTGGGCGACAGAGTGAGATACTATCTCAAAAAAGAAAGATGACAACATTATGGAGCTGGGTGAATCACAATGCCTTTGGTCAATCAAATCCCAATTATTAGGTCACCCTTAACAAATATAAATTATAAAGTTTATTTAGCAACATAAGAATATTCTGATTATATGACTAGGAAAGAAAACAAGACAAATTATATTATGATATTATGTACAGATCACACAGATACAGAGAAAAGATCAGAATGAAGCACTTAAAAATAAAAGTGGGGGCTTTGCTAAAGACGTATGAGTGACCGCAGAACAGTACTAGTAGCTGTCCCCTTCATCCACCATCCAGGCACAATAATTTGGGGCACGGCAGACACACAAACGTATGGAGAAAAAAGAACCGCAAAACCAGTTTTCTTTCATGCGTTAACATAATGTTGGTTGTATGATCTTGAGATAGCAAATGGCAGATAGGAATTTCGTTCCCCTGATGTTGTCCCGGGTGGCAACACTGAGAGCCTTGATTAAAGAGCCAGGAGCCTGGGATCAGCCAGGCCTGGGAATGAGTCCAGCCTCTGTTGCTTATTAGCTGGGTACTTAAATCCCTTCACTTCCTTGGGTCTCGTTTCCACGTCTGTAAAGTAGGTGTCATCACAACTACCTGCTGGGGTTTTTTATTTAATTTTATTTTTTAATTTTTTTTTTTGAGACACAGTCTCACTCTGTCCCCCAGGCTGGAGTGCACTGGCGCAATCTCGGCTCACTGCAAGCTCTGCCTCCCGGGTTCACGCCATTCTCCTGCCTCAGCCTCCCGAGTAGCTGGGACTACAGGTGCCCGTTGCCACGCCCGGCTAATTTTTTGTATTTTCAGTAGAGATGGGGTTTCACCGTGTTAGCCAGGATGGTCTTGATCTCCTGACCTCGTGATCCGCCCACCTCAGCCTCCCAAAGTGCTGGGATTATGGGCGTGAGCCGCCACGCCCGGCCAACTATCTGCTGGGTTTTAAGAATCAATTGGCATCATGAGTATGAAAAAATCCTTACTGTATTACCTAGCACCCAGAACAACTCAATAAATAGTAACTGTGGAAATTATAAAAATGGGAAAGATATCAGTGATTGCCAAGTGTCTGGGATGTGGGGAGCGGCCCTGGAGGGAGGTGGGTGTTATTTTAAACATGTGATATGAGGGATTCTTCCAGTGATGGAATTGTACTGTATCTTAAACCTATCAACGTCAAAATGCTAGTAAGGTGCACAGAGTCTTGTATTCTTCCTTAAAACTGCTTGTGAATCTATAATTAACTCAACATTTTAAAAAGGAAGAAAGAAGAGGATCACTCATAGTCCCACTGTGCAGATAATCACTATCAAATTTTTGGTTTACATCTTCTGGCTCAAAAACAAACAAACAAAAGACAGTAGCTGTCATGATTATAAAGGGACACTCCGGGCTCCTGAATGCAGATTATTATTATAATTCTATATTTAAAATTGTTAAATTGTGTATTTCTTTGTGTGGTTGGTTGGTTTGGCTGCATACCTGCTTGCTTGCTTGCTGCTTGCTTGCCTGCTTGCCTTGCCTTGCCAAGATCAAGAGAGAGGCTCCAAAAGTGTTGATTTCATCAGGCTTCCGTCTCTGAGCCATGACTTTATCAGTATCAGGATCTTAGGAGACTTCTGCTAAACCTTGAAAGATGAAGCATGCACTGCACACCTGCATTAGTTTCTTATGGCTGCCATAACAAAGTAACACAAACTGCGTGTCTTAAAACAACAGAAATGTATTCTCTCACAATCCCGGAGGATACAGATCTGAAATCCAAGTGTTGGCAGGGCACACTCACCAAAGACTCTAGGGGAGGAAACTTCCTTGCTTCTTCCAGCTTCCGATGGTTCTCAGCAAACCTTGGTGTTCCTTGGCTTGTAAATTTATTGCTCTAATCTCGACCTCCATTG